CCCGGCTAGCTGGTGTGCCAGGAGGTCTGAGGGACTCCATGGAGCTGGCTGGCGCATGCCCAGGACACTGTGTTCCTTGGGATTACCAGACACCCACAAATAATTAGATGGCTTTCCCCAAAATCAACAAGATCAGCAAAGAATAAAGCCCTTACATTTCCAGGCTAGAAAAAAAAAAGAGGCTGCCTCCCATCGGCTGGCTTGAGAGAGTGGGGCAAATTAATTCGGATGTGCCCTCCAAGCACACATAAATGAGGGTTCACAGAGCTCCCAGGGGTACACAAGGAATGCTGAATGGCTTAGTTGTCTCCAGACATAGTAACAGAATATCCATCAAAGCCAGTGGTCCTCAAAGCGAGGTCCTTGGCCCTTTGAAATGCAGCATCTCTAGCCGCCACCCTGACGTACTGAATCCTCTGAAGATGGGCTCCAGGAGATTCTACCAAGCCCTCCAGGCCATTCTTAGGCGCGTGCAATTTGAGAACTGCTTGCCTGCGCCATTTCTCCTGATTTCTTGACTGACAGCACAGGAGCGGCTATCGATCTTGGCTGCACAGAAGCAGTCCGCTGCCAACGCTACAACCCAGAGCAATTAAATCAGAATCTCTGGGATTGGACCCCGGCACCAGGTCTTTTAAGGCTCCCCAGGTAATTTCAATGTGCAGCCAAGCCTGAGACCCACTGATTTGGAGCAAGAATTTGAATGAAGCAGTAAGTCATTCATAGCATTTGTGTGTGAGCGTATCAATCAACTCAGAATGCTGGGAATTACCATCTTTTCCTTTGCTCAGAGTTTTTGTGTTTGTTTTTCCCACCACTACTTCCTCGATCGTCCTCTGCAGGTTCTGCACCCCCAAGAGAAGTTCTGAAGACACTTGTCCCCCCACCCATTCACCCACCGCTACCACCATCCAATTGTTAACGTTACTGAAATCACTGACTCAAGCTAAGATGTAAGAAAAGGCTCCATTCATTCTAGGTTCTTAGGATCCAGTGTGAATCTGCAAATTGAAGACAATTATGTTTCTGTTATATGTGTGTTTCTTCTGTGTGGGATTTATCTACAGTGTTCCTATTATGTTCATGCATTTTATTCAGCTTTTGGTCCAGATCAGCACCAAAGCAGGCTAATAAGGCCTGGTTTATGTTTTGTTTAGCCTTTGAAACATGCAAGCATCTCACCTGCTAATTGGAGACAGTGGATGGGCCCCAGCACAGTGTTTCCTCAGCTGGGGGAGGGTAGAGAGGAAAAAATAAAAATAACTTTTTTCCCCTAGTATCCTGTGAACTGTACTGCAAGAAAGCTGGTGAGTCGCTTTAAATGACACTTTCAGGTTCTAATAAAAATATGTTTTAAGGGCTTCCCTGGTGGCACAATGGTTGTGAATCTGCCTGCTAATGCAGGGGACACGGGTTCGAGCCCTGGTCTGGGAGGATCCCACATGTCGCGGAGCAACTAGGCCCGTGAGCCACAACTACTGAGCCTGTGCGTCTGGAGCCTGTGCTCCGCAACAAGAGAGGCCGCAATAGTGAGAGGCCCGCGCACCGCGATGAAGAGTGGCCCCCGCTTGCCACAACTAGAGAAAGCTCTCGCACAGAAACGAAGACCCAACACAGCAAAAATAAATAAATTAATTAATAAACTCCTACCCCCAACATCTTCTTTAAAAAAAAAAAAAGGCCACCTATTGTGTGATTCTATTTTATATATATATATATATGTTTTAAAATGGAGCAATAGGATAGTTTACCTAAGATGTCATCATAAAGGCTAGGCTTACACTTTTAGCTTCAGATCAATTACTTCGAAGTTTTAGAAATCTTCAAGAAGCCCAATTTAGAAATGTGTCCAGTTCCTGGAGTTAACAATCTTACTCTGCCGATGTAACTCAAATGTTCTTTCTCAGGGGCTCCCTAGGGTGTCATCTTCCACAAAGTCTCCAGGAGTTCTGAAACTATTCTATTTAAAGAGAAATGGATATTTAATATACTTGTTCATGTTTCTCTGCACATATCAGGCTGACCAAACATCCTGATCACTCTGGAACTTTCCCGTTTTAGCACTAAAAGTCCCATATTCACCTTCCACTGGGCAACTGGGACAATTGGTCACCCTATATTCTGCCCAGATCTCCTTGCTCACCATCACTTTATAAATCCTCTCCTTCCGTGGGACTCATGCACTGCCTCATCTTAAACCATCAGCACATGTGCTTAGAACACACACACACCTGGTTCCTTCCTCACAATGCGAATGCAGATACATTCATTTATTCTTCCAGAATTTCTACTTCCCATTTTTCCCATGGCCATCACCACCCTCTCTCTCCACAGGGATGATTCCAGAAACATCTTGTTCTTTTTAATCACACCACCAGGGCAAATGCGAAGACGAAAGGAAAGTGATTCCTGTGTTTCAGAGCTCAAACTAGATGAAAGAGTACATCATAAAAGTTAACGAGTGCCTTTTTTCAATGGCGTAAATCTTTATTGCATCTCCATTCATTGCTGGATACCGACCTGCACCGAGTCCACAGTAAGCAAGCTAATAAGTGAGACAAACGTGCTCTCTTCACTCAGTAAGACTCCCTGGCATCCTAGATTTCCTTGTTCCTTGGCTTTCCATTGAACTGGGCAAATGCATCTTTGGTTTTTGCTATTCCTTATCTTGGGCTGCCAGTAGCAACTGACTGAATCCACTGCCAATTTGTTCTTTCTAACTTCAGTGCTGCTCCAAAGTTATTATAATAAACTCAATTAATTTCTCATAGTGGTTCTAAGTTCTGTCCACAATGAAGTTCTTTCACCCACCCACCATGTAGTGCATGACTCTGTCATCTACCTTCCTGGGTTCAACATCATGGGATGGAGTTCCAGCTACCGTTCACCTCCTACCTTAAATTCTCCCAGGCTCATCGTGGTCATTTTCTCTTGCCCTGTTGTCTTAAATAAGGAAATGTATTTTATTCTCTCTGAGACTTCTTCCTTTACCCTCTATCACTTCCTCTTTTAACATGCTTCTTCCATCAGTACCCATCAGATGTATTTTTCTGCCTTTTGATTTCTCTTTAACATACAAATATGCTTAAATCACAATTACTCTCAAGAAAAAAAGAGGTGATCTGACTCCACTGAAACTGTGGAATTCCCACACCTTTCCCTCTTTTGACCACACCTGCCATCCATTTCTCCCACCCATTTCTCAACCCTGTGCTGTCTGTGTTTTGCTCCTGCTAAACTGAAATTTTCTTTCAAGTGGTACCAATAAACTACCTGTTAAAATGTGATGTCTCTTCTGAGTTCTCATCCATCCAGCCTCTTGGCATCATTTGAGGGTGTTGTTGGGATTATCCTCTTTGACGTCTCTCATGTTATATACCCTGACTCTCCTGTCCTCTCACTGGACCACATCACCTCCCGTTGCCTATTCTTCCTCCTGTGCCTCTTCCAGTCTCACTCTGGACCCCATCCAGCATGGGCTTCAGCTATAGCTCCATTCTGTTGACCACACATCTGTATCCCCACCTCTGAACTCTCTCCTGAGTTTTCTCTCCTTATTTCTAAACACCTAATGAGCAGTTCCACATGGCAAAATCCAAAGATCCTCAAACTCAATACATCCAAGTTCATAATCATCCCTCAAACCTGTCTCCCTGCGTTTTCTGTCTTAGTCTCCGAGTCTATCCTACTAGAAACTCCTGCATCAATCTTTACTTTTTTCTAGTCCACACTTCCAAGCATTTGCTAAATAACATCATGCTATGTTCACCATCAGAACTTTTTATTACAAATAGCAGAATCAAAACTCAAATTAAACAAGAAAAAGAAATGTATTAGCTCATGGAACCAAACCATAAAATGGATGGATTCATGTGAATGGTACCAGATTTCTCTCTCCACCTCTCATCTCAGCTTTTGTTTTTGTTTGCCCTCATTCTTGCAGGCTCCTTCATGTGGAAGGGGCCATGGCCACTAGCAGCCCTGAAGGCACATCCCATTAACAATAATGAGAAGAGACACTTAATCTATATCAGGCACAATTCTAGGCACTTCAGAGCCCGTGAGGCAAGAAAGAGAAAACATATTCTCCACATCAAATGTAGAAGAGCCATAGACAAGCTCTAAACTGGGCCAGCTTGGGTCATGTACCCACCTGCTGGAGAAACCACTGGGTCTAGAACCATGAAGTAGAGTAACAAGCAGAGTTTGGATCATCCATCAGCCCCTGACCTTGAGTGTTTCAAGTAGGAGGGGTCTGATGAACCACAGCAGGTGGGAAAAAATGCAGGGTTAGACTTTGGGGCGAGAAATGGATATGCAGAAACTCAACAGTGCTAATTCACGTTCACGGGTCTTTGCATCACCTTATGAAAACGAAGCCCATCAGGAATTGTATCTGAATAGATGCCCTACCCTCCAAAAAAAAAAAAAAAAAAGTACAGAAGAAAATCAAGACATTCCTCAGAAAACAGTTTTAAGAATACACTAGGGCTTCCCTGGTGGCGCAGTGGTTAAGAATCCGCCTGCTAATGCAGGGGACGCGGGTTCGAGCCCTGGTCTGGGAAGATCCCACATGCTGCAGAGCAACTAAGCCCGTGCGCCACAACTACTAAGCCTGCGCTCTAGAGCCTGCGTGCCACAACTACTGAAGCCTGCGCACCTAGACCCCATGCTCTGCAACAAGAGAAGCCACTGCAATGAGAAGCCCACGCACCGCAATGAAGAGCAGACCTGGCTCACCGCAACTAGGGAAAGCCCATGCACAGCAACGAAGACCCAATGCAGTCAAAACTATAAATAAATAAAAAATAAAAAAAGAATACACTAAAACCACAAAGAATGGGTCATCAAAGCTCAAAAATGTATGCCGAGAGTTCTTAGCCTCTGCAAGCATAGAATATCTTTTTTTTTTTTTAAGTCTCAAACTTCTAAATAATAGTGGTTTTAATGATAAAAAGCATAATGATGAGACAGGATGGCACGCCCTTGCATAACGTTACCTGTTCAGCCTGCAGGTGCTGTTTCATCTCTTGCACTGACTTCAAGGCCCCAGGGAGGTCTGCAGTCATGGGTGACATTAGCTCTTCTTTCTCATAGAACTTCAGAAGGAGTTCTACCTGGAAAATTTCCAGAGGGGGTATTGAAATTGAAGCCATAAGAATCTCTATAATGTACCTGTAGTTTAACTTTCCAGTGTCCCTTTTTAAGATAAATAGTTGGAAAATATACCCTGAGATAACTGCACAAGTGAACTTGACATTGTTTTAGACCCCATAACAACTGCATCTACAGGCTGGCACTAACTGTCATGGATGGTGAACTCTATTTTTTTTGTTTCTACATCTACAGTTCCTCAGTTTATTGATTTCTCATTCATCAGAAGATTTATAAGCGTAATGAAGCCTAAATGGAGCACACATGAATATGAATTTTGTGGTGTGTATAAATTAAGTCTCCCGCTGCAACATTTGGGGAAGATATTTCTCCTAGGAATGAATGTTGCCACCCGACAGGTGTGTAATAAGATGCTATTTTCATCCTCCATCATCTAAGGTTTTGAATGTAACTGGAAACATTCTTGGAGGCAGGGGAGGGAGATGCCCTGAGTCATTGTGAAAACCATTATTCTGCATCATGCTCAGCTGGACGTGGGAATGAATTAAAACAAATGTTCAAGAATGTTCTATTTCCAGATGAAGCTATTTCATCTGTTATCTTTTTCTCTTGCACTTAAATGTGACTAAAAGATCTTCCAAAATGAAATGCAGCCTTGTATGAAATCAAATTGATTTCTCTTATTTGTAATTTACCAGAGAATATTTGTCCTGAGTATTATTAGGCAGCAAAGCTATTCTATTTATTTTTAAAAAAAAGAAAAAGGAAAAAAACATTTGGAGTTGATGTTAAAAAGAAAGCTATACATTGTGTTCTACATTTGAAATTCCACAAACTGTTAATAAACTGGATTTTTCCTGTAAAGAGAGGCATGCATCCTTTTGCCTCATTTCACCAGGCTCAGTGTTCACTTTTGCCATCCCCAGCACCCCTTGTTCAGTCAAATGTGTATGAAGTCCAAACCCATCTAAGAAATGCCCTGCTCCAGCCAGGATCAAACAGAATGCTTCTGGAATGGAACATCAGCAGAGCTGCTCCCTTTGTTCACTTTTTTCCCTTCACGTTTTTTATTGTTAGCAGTGACTACATTTCAGAAACAAAGCCACCTGCTTTCAAACACAAATGAGGGAAGGCTGTGTCTGTGTGTTTGTACGTGTGTGTGCAAATGCTGGGATGGGGGGCACGGATGTGTGTGTGTGTTCCCTCAAAGAAGGAGTTATTTATGTGTCTGACCTGTCTTCAGGCACTTATAAAATATTCAGCAGGCTAGAATGAACCTCTCCGGAGGGTGCTGAGGCCCAGATGGACATGTTAGGGGGTAAGGCTCAGGAGTAATGCTGGGAAGGCACTTGTGCTGAGATGCTCCTAGCCTGGCAGAGCCAGCATTCACCTGAGGGGCCAGGAGAGCCTTGACTCCTTATCTGTGAAAATCAGGGCACCTGACGTTGCCTTTGGGAGCCTTGGTTTTCTCATCTGTAAAATGAAAAGTCTGAACTATGTTGGGGGTCTCCATTCTTGGCTGCACAGTAGCCTCGCTTGATTTTCTTACTTTTAATAATGATGCAAGGGCCTTACCCCAGACCACTTGAATTAAACCTCCAGGGATGGAATCCACAAACAAATATTTTTTTAAGCTCCCAGGTGCGTCTAGGTGCAGCCAGGGTGGTGAACTGCGGCTGGGTGATCACCAAAATCTCTCCAGCGCAGGTTCTGCAGGACTTGCTCCTGTCAGATCAGGTGTCTGTTGGGTCAGCTCTCTGTCCTCAGTGGTCCACCCTGCCCAGCCATGCTCCATCCCATGGAACATTCCAGATGCATAAGTCATCAGGGCCAAAGCTCCAACAGGATCTGTGGAAACAGTCAACATCATTAACTGGACTACCCAATCTAAAGAGTGAGGATTTGGGGGGGGGTGGGGAGGGAAGGACTGTTTAAAGGGAATCGTAGTGGTTCCTAAGAAACCTGTGGGACAGCATCAAAGCTACTGGGAACTCTGCACAGTGAGCTCATTTCCCTGTTCACACCCACCTACGATGTCTCTGCAGCCCAGCGTGTGCTGCAAAGATAAACAAAATTAATCAATAGCAAGAGCTGCATTTTGTTTTGTTTTGTTTTCAAAATTTTTTTTTTTTTTGACATGGACCCATTTTGAAGTCTTTATTGAACTTGTTACAACATTGCTTCTGTTTTATGTTTTGATTATTTTGGCCACGGGCCATGTGGGATCTGAGCTCCCTGACCAGGGATCCAACCCGCACCGCCTGCATGCTTTTGATCTTGCAGTCAAGTCACATAGTTTCCTTTTCCAGGACAGTGCCACACTTCCCTCTGCCCTGTTCTCTTGTCTCTCCGAGCTTTTTCCCTCTTACTCCTGTTTAACCCATCCATCCCCTTGCCCAGTCATCCACAGATCTGCTCCCCACCCTGCCTTGTGCCGCCCCCGCCAACCCTCTGCATGATTTTATTTATTTTTTGTCATTTCCCATTCACCCTACTTTGTATGCTCTCACCCTCCCTTCCCACTTCTTCCCTTTCCCAACAAGGTCGCTGGGCCACCAATGGCTGTGAGGATGTGAAAATCTGAGTCACAGGCATGAATAATGAATTGGAAGAGGCAGACTGAAGCCAGTCGGAACTGAGACAGTATTTCCGAAATGCAGCCAAATGACTTAGCAAGAGGCGGGATGGAGTTACTGCAATCCCTGGAAGCCCCGGACACACTGGTAATTATGAAAATGCAGTTTTGATAAAGTACAAATCTGCAATTGTCCTAAGGCTGACAGAAGTGTCATACCCTGCTCTGGGCTGAAACTGGGAGTTCTGGAAGGTGCAGGGACACTTGCCGACCCCATTGCACTGAGGGACTAGTGCAGTCACTGGCGAGATGGCCTGTTTCCTCATTCCAAGAATAGCACCTCCACCCTGGGTTGGGGGCAGCTACACAAGGATGGCTAGAGGGTGTGGTACTGGAAGCTCCCACCCGGCAGCAAGGTCAGGGAAGTGGGCGATCTGGATCTTGAGGTTGCCGGAGGGGGAACAGGCAGGAGTCTGGACGCCAAGGAGAGTTGTCTGCTGCTCTTCTAACTCATCAGAAACCAGACCAAGTACCAGCCCTCAGATCTCAGGTGTCTGATCCTGCACTGTTCCCAGTTAGTCGGAAACCTCCTTTGGACCTTCTTTTACAAGCAAGACTTGCAAGACTTGGTGATGGGTCTGTGGAGCCAGTGGTCCAATCTGGGGACCTGCTGGAGCTGGTTGGTGAATGAGGGTCTGCAGACAATCTTAACTAACATTCTGGCCACCCCTCGAGTTCTCTCCCATTTGCCCCAGACACGTCTTTGTGAAATATAAACCTGGCTATAGCGCCATCTGCCCAGAAACCTGTCAGCAGCTACTCACTGGCTCCAGAACTGAGGCTAAACTGCTGATAATAAGCTCCAAGGCCCTCTGTGACTTGGCCCAAACTTCCACCTCCGACTTCACATCTCCACTCGGTGACTTGACCCGACAGTGCAGAGATGCCGAATGCTTTGTGCTCCGTGCCCTCTGCCGCTCCTTCCCTGCACGCCTGTGATGCGGCTGTGTCCCCTGCATCTCTGTCTCCTTCACGAACACCCATTTATCCTCCCAAGACCCAGCGTAGGAGCCCTGTTTGCTAGGAATTGCTCTGGAGCTCTCAGATTGGACAAACTCCCCTCCCCAGCTTGTGCTCCCACCTTACCTACTGTCTGCTTAACGTGTAAAGGTCTTTGTGAGCCCGGAATGTGTTACCCGGCCCAAGCACGCTCGCTGCACGACAGGCCAGTAAGTCGAGAGACAAGTTGTTGAGGCGAGGAGTAATGACTTTGACGGGAAAGCTAGCCGACTGAGAAAATAGCTGACTAGTGTCTCAAAAAACCATCTTCCCTCAGTCCAAATTCGGGTCTTTTACACAGAGAAAGGGGAGGGGGAGGAGCTCACTGCGATGCCAACTAATGGCTGAGCGGGACTGCTAAGGCTCGCTCACTAACCAACGGTTACTCGCTAAGGGTCCTTCCCTAATGGTAGCTCGCTAACGGTGAGTGGGACCGCTAACAGTGGCTCCTTGACACTTGCTCGCTAAGGGCCGCTCGCTTGGCTCGCTTGGGGGGAGGAGCCCCCTGCGAGGCCGACCAACGGCTGAGCAGGACTGTTAACGGTCACTCCCTAACGGTCAGTTGCTTGGGGGGAGGGGCCCCCTACGAGGCCGACCAACGGCTGAGCAGGACTGTTAACGGTCACTCCCTAATGGTCGGTCCCTAAGGGCCACTCACTAAGGGTCAGTTGCTTGGGGGAGGGGCCCCCTGCAAGGCCGACCAACGGCCGAACAGGACTGTTAAGGGTCACTCCCTAACGGTCAGTTGCTTGGGGGAGGGGCCCACTGCGAGGCTGACCAACGGCTGAGCAGGACTGTTAACGGTCACTCCCTAACGGTCAGTTGCTTGGGGGAGGGGCCCACTGCGAGGCTGACCAACGGCTGAGCAGGACTGTTAACGGTCAGTTGCTTGGGGGAGGGGCCCACTGCGAGGCCGACCAGCGGCGGAGCAGGACTGTTAACGGTCACTCCCTAACGGTTGGTCCCTAAGGGTCTCTCACTAACGGTCAGTTGCTTGGGGGAGGGGCCCCCTGCGAGGCCGACCAATGGCTGAGCGGGACCACTACGGGTGGCTCGCTAACAGCCATGTGCCTGCCCCGCCCCTATTACAAATGGACACTCTGGGGGCAGAGACCCCCTCTCATTCACCCAGGAACGTTCCCTGCATCCAACACAATGCCTAGAATAGAGTAGACATCCATTAATGCTGTGTAGAGAATCCTGGCTGGAACAGAACAGGAAGCTAGGATTACAGTACTCCCATCTTACGGGTATGGATGTTCCCACAGTCCCTGCCTTGGATAGAGGTCCAGCCCTCGGAGCAATGCTCCCCTTCCCCATCCCTCCCAGTGGAGAGCTCCCAGCGCCTGCTCATCTCCCTCCCCCAGCCTGACGTGTTGTGACTGTGATCTCAGGGGTCCACTGCTCCCCAGTTCCCTGTCTCTTCTCAGTGTGTGCAGCCTTGACGGGCAGAGGAGATGCACCCTGCTGACTCAGATATTGAACTAAATCTTTCAAGCCAAAACTTCGTTCACTTTCCCCGAATGAGGACAACGACTGAGTCACGAAGGAATAGGTAGAATAGGTATAAGTCTCTGCAAATTCAAATGTGCTGAAAAGCAATCTTGAATTTTTCATAACTCGATTTAATTTTTATTTCAAGTTCCATTTTTTTCCTGAGATGGCGGGGTGAGTCTCCCCTCTGTTTTCCCGAGTGTGGCATCTGAGCTCCAGGGGGTTAACGTGGTGTCGGGGTGAGGGCAGACCTGGTCTTCATCCTCAGTGTCGTCTATTCATCCTGGTTCCTGCTGGGAAGCACCATCTCATGTCACACACTGTCCGCCCGGGTGGTCGCTGGGGCTGCCTCATTCCCGTACTCTGCCACGCTTGGGGACCAAGAAGTCATGTTGGGGTCATGATGGGGCCCGGAGAACTCTATAAGGCCACATCTGCCAAGTCACAGTATAGAGTCATTGTCACTTCCCCAGAACATTAAAGAAACAGGACGTGGGCTCACTCTGTTCTCTTTTTTTTTTTTTTTTTTTTTGCGGTACGCGGGCCTCTCACTGCTGTGGTCTCTCCCGTTGCGGAGCACAGGCTCCGGACGCGCAGGCTCAGCGGCCATGGCTCACGGGCCCAGCCGCTCCGCGGCATGTGGGATCTTCCCGGACCGGGGCACTAACCCGTGTCCCCTGCATCGGCAGGCGGACTCTCAACCACTGTGCCACCAGGGAAGCTCTCTGTTCTCTTTTTGTTGGGTTGGTTTTAGGTTCCAGCATCCCTCACGCTTGACGTGGAACCAGGGCTCACGGCCTCCTTAGGGACCTCCCAGCCTCTAAGGTCTCATAACTCCCCGATCCAATTCACTCTCCTTCCAGCCTGTGGCATCCTTTTCTAGCCAGTGTGTATGTGAGGGTGAAGGGAGGGCCCTTCCGACTACTCATCTGAGATTGATAGTCTGTTACCTCTGTCCTGTTTCCATTTCCTCAAAGCCTATTCTTCTGAAACTCAAAGGCCATGAGGAGACTTTTTCCTCTGATCTTTGCTTTCACATTGCTTCCCTATGAGAGTGATCACCTACCACCATCTAGTTACTGAATGGAGAGCAGAGGTAGGGTCTAGAGGGATTGGAGGGGGAGGTATCATTAAGAATGTGCTAAGGTAGCATTTATAAGCAATCAGGCACTGTTCTAAGGTCTTCACATACATTAGCTCATCAAATCATTGCCACCCAACGAGGCAGATACTGTTATTATTCCCATTTTGCAGACGAGGAAACTGAGATTAAGTAGTGACAAATTGGAGGAGCTGGGACTTGAACCCAGGCAGCCTGGCTCCAGGGTCTGTGCCCTTAACCACTAAAATGACAGCTTCTCACTAACCAACAAACACCCTGCCACACACATTACTTTTGTTATAGATCTGTCTTCCTTGAAGATGTATAGGAAAAGAAAAGTTTAAAAATATTATGATGGAAACTTCTCCTTCTACTCAAAGTGCTTATGCTGGGATTTAACAAATTTTAATCTTGATGAGAAATCTATCCGTCATCCATGTGAATGTCAAAAAAAGATAAAAGCCTAGAAGTCCTTAAAAAACAGAATCTCCCATCACCACTGCCACCACCAACGCCACCAGCTCAATCTGCCTGGAAGCATTTTATCAGGCCCTTCAGCAGCAGGGTAAGAGTTAGAGGACAAGACCTCTGAAAAGGTGTTGCCAACTCTATGTATCT